CCTTCCCCCATGGTCTTCTGTTAAGTTTCTCAGGATCCACATGAGAGTTAAAACATATGGTATCTGTCTTTCTCTGTATGGCTTATTTCACTTAGCATAACACTCTCCAGTTCCATCCACATTGCTACAAAAGGCCATATTTCATTCTTTCTCATTGCCAAGTAGTATACTAGTCTTAAATGCCCACTGATCAGTGCTAAAGGGCTTTAAAATTATATTCCTTATTAAAATATTCCTGCCCAATTATGTTGTCCTTTAGAGAAAAACTCATTTCACAAGAGTATTTTGAACTTCAGTGGGAGAAAGAACTTATCAATTAGGAATAAAGCTCAGTTATTCTACTTACTTTTTTACATTTATTTTGAGAGAGAGACAGAGAGAATGAGCAGGGGAGGGGCAGAGAGAAAGGAAAAGAGAGAATCCCAAGCAGACTCTGTAGTTTCAGTGTGGAGCCTGGCTCGAACTCACGAACCATGAGATCATGATCTGAGCCAAAACCAAGAGTTGGGTGCTTAACTCACTGATCCACCAAGGCACCCCTCAGTTATTTTACTTTAGACTAAACATTAACAACTTGAAAATTCCAAGTTTTTTTTTTTTCTTTTCTTAGGCTATGCCCATAGATGGCCAAGCATTCACTAGGGCACAGCTGAGCAATTCACAGCTGTGAAATTATGTATCTAAAGGTCTGCTCATTTCTCTATAAGTAATTAGGATAAGCCAAGAGCCATGAACTAAGCTTTGTCATGGTATAATTGTTTCACCTGGAGTTACAGAACATGCATCCATACTAGAGAAATAAATGATTAATAAAGATTTATGTGGTTGATAGTGCTAATGCCCACCTGATCATAAAAAAACTGTGAACTAAATGATTGATTTGAAGCTCCCAATACTAAAAATAATGTAGCATATATGGGCAATTTGAGATAGAATTACTTGTAGTGTGGGATTTGGATGCAGTAGTAAACAAAGACCAGGGAAATGGGAACATATGCAAATTTGCGACTACTGAATTAAGGAATAGAAAGATAGGGAATGTTGGAGAAGTTATTAAATCCACTGTTGAAATAAGACATATTCTATTCTCTTTATTAAAATAAGTGACATCTATACATTTTGTCTAATAGCAGAGAGACAAGATTAAAAACTTCCTCCTTTTTGTCAATCTGCATGAGAAAAGACCAACTCCTATCTGATAGAAAAGTTATTTATTTTATACTATTAAATAGCTCATGAACTTCTTGCTGAAATTTGGAGTATTTACAAAGCAGTCATCTAATGGTACTATACACTTTCTAAGGTATTAGATTTTAGTAAAAGGACACAGAGACATTGTCTTCTAGAATAGATATTTATCACTATCCCAGTCAAGGTGAAACAAAGCCTTTGCTAACATTAGCTGATCATAGTTTATTAGAAATGCATCACTGGATTTAATTCACTTTGCAACTGTGAAGAAGCCATGTTAAAAAGGGCAAAGTGCTCGAACTAACATTCATTGAACATGTGCTTAGAATATTAAAAAGTTAAGTGAATGAGCAGACTTAATGACATTCTAAATTCTGGTGGGGAGACCTTCAAATCAAAAGAGATTTTTTTTTTTTTGTGATTGCATTCATGTAGCTGACTGAGTATACATAAAGCAGCATAAGACACTTCTAAAGCATGAAGTCCACTTCAAAATTCTTTTTAATATCTTATTGGATTGCAACATTGGCACACTGAACAAATCTATGGATTATGACAATTGCTAGACTTGCCTTTTTTATAGATCCTAAAGTAAATACAATTAAGTTTTTTTACTCTAGGTCCTTCATCTGTCTGTCCTCAGAATCTGACCTAGTGTCACTATTCCCAAAAGATTAAGTTAATTCCCAAATATAGTACCTGTTTTTATAACACGTATTCTAAGCCCTAGGGGTATGAATGCCAATTTTCATAACATTAATAATGCATATTTTCCTTGCAAAGTGGAGAAATTGGAAGTTCAAGGGAAGAAATTGACCTGGTTGGGATCACACAGTTAATCATCATGGGAAGAAAGACTAACTCATGTAGTATAGTGCTGGCAACATTATTTTTAATTAAAAATGGCTATTAATTAACAAACCATTTGGGTAATCTAGTATTTCAATCAGACAGTGTCATATATTTTTAGAACCCAGTTCCAGTGGGGAAGCGTATTCTATGGACCACTTATCTCAGCTTACCAAAACCAAAACTAATGAAAAAAAAAAACAAAACAGATTTTAAAAAATGAGAAACCAATGACACAATGGCTTTCTTTTGTTAAGTAGAATATACATTAATTTCTTCCATAAGTAAACCTCTAAGTATCTCAAAACATAAAGATTAGTAACTTAAAAGATCACCATAATAACTTTCATAAACTACTATTGGTGTTTTCTATATTATGAGATTGATTATACCTGATCTCAACTATATAAATTTGTAGTTTCTATTTGGGTGCTGATTATATATGATATAACTTCCAGTACAGGTTTTGTGTGACTTTCTCCCTTTTGATGGCCAATGTTTTGTCATAGTTTTTTTCATTAGTCTTTTATCAGAGGAAAAGTACAAGAGAAGGAGAAAAGTAAAATACACAATATTTACTTTTCTTATTCGTGAGTATTCTTGGGGAAAGAACCAAGACAAGGATGAGGTTATAATTAGAAAACAAAATGCATTCTGTGCACCATTCCGAGATATCAAGACACCTAGAAGCTAGTTAGCTGGCCTTGTAACTCTGAATTCAAAACCATGCCATAACTTTTGGGATGAGGACCACACTCCAAATTATTTCTCTGATTGAACCTATTTTTTTACAGTTATTTAAAATTTACAGTACCCTTGGGACCATGATTAAGACTGCCACCTTATTCATTTAAAATCCATAGTTTATATTCCTAAAAAACAAACACACTTTTAATATGCCATAGAATATGATAACTCACATAAAACAATATAAAACAATAACATGCTTAAATAAAGATGGTAAAGGTAACCGAAGACTGCTGTCTTGGAATGTCTGTGTGTGTGAGGCATGGGGAGAGCAAAATGTACATATTGGCTTGAATTTCATGAATAAATTCTTCTCTTTAAAAAGAAAAACAGTGGGATGTTAAGACTCTATTATTTTTCCCTGGAGATATCTGAGATGAACTACACATGTCAGTCTTGCTTGTATATAAGGGATGAATTTGTACACTACTATTGAGATTACTTACTAAATAAAAGCCTACAAGACTGCTTCCAAATCAATGGTTACTTGTGTGACACACTATTCACTGAATGTCTCTGACAAGAAATCAACACCATAGCATACAACTCAGAAGCAAATTTGGTATCATTTAGTATTGAATAGAACATTTAATAACATTCCATAATTTTTAGCAACCTTAATACATTTTATACAAATATACCAAGAAAAATAATGGGACAGAAAGTGTAATTTAGGAGGAATTTGTAAATAAAAATCCATAGTGACAAACAAAAGACATTACATTTCACCTTTGGGGTAAAGGAATCAAACATTCTAGTTCAACTGGGAAAACTAAATGATGCATTGTGGTCACATAGAATTTCACAAAGTAATTTCATATTTTTTAGTGATAAGCAACGTATCATGAAATAAAAGATATTCAAACATTTGTGAAATCTAGTGAGGTCTGGAGGGTAACTGAAATCCAGAAGAGAGGCAAATACCCTACCTCTTTTATTCAAGAAAGTTTCCAAAATATGTGCCTCTCCAGTTAGGGTAGCCTGGTCTCTACAAACATTCTGAGAGTTTCTTTAAAACATATTTTTAAAAATTATTTCCTCCTACTTAAATCTAGCCTTAAATTAACAATTATTTTGATTTCTTACTAAAGTATCACACACATATCTGAATATATATACTTAAAAATATTGTGCTAAATAATAAAAAAGATTATAAAGTAACAAATCCTTTCTTGATGCCAAGCAGAAATGAAGTAGAAAAATAAAAAAATATATATATATTAAGAACTCAAGTGTGACATGTCATTTTTCAACATGATACGTTACAGCTTACTATTCTCTTCTGGCACCTACCTGCTGTTGTTCCTTATCATCAGCTTTCATAGCTAGTATCAAGCTTCTAACAAATGTCTGAAGTTTAAAGTATTTTTGCTTTTGAATCTCTAGCTCATTTTCAATGAATCTGACTTCTTCATTCTGAGCGAGAAAACATCAGATAATATCATTACCTTATGAAAACCTAGGATTATATATGTTTGATGCACAGTAAAATTCCAAAAAGCAATCAAATTAGAAGGACAGTAAAGAAAATAACATTTTAGTATAAAGAATATAAAGCACAGAAGGAAATTATCATGTTACTCAAAGACTAACTTTTAAACAAATCAACAAAAGAAAACAATTTGCAAGGTCAAAAATACAATAAAAAATTCCAGTAGAAGAAATCTCAAGAAACAACTTCCTTTTGGAAAGAATACTCCTGTATTAAACCTAATTAGCATTTTTGTTAGGATTAAGAACAGGCAAAGTCCAATTACCCCAACTAAAGAGCAATAACAGATGCAGTAATACTGAATGTGCCATTCACAAAGCCAAATATTGAGAACTGAAAAGACTATTTTGTACCAAGGGGGGAATAAAATAATTACAGTCTTAAGTAGTTTGTTGAGCTCCCTGACTTTATATAGGAGTCTGTTATTCAGATAATATCTCCAATGTACCACTGTGTACCACTGATTTGACACACAGTCCCTCTTTACTATTTTTTTAGTTTCCTAAGAAAAGAACAATAGACTAGGATTTGAGAGGATTTTAGTGCCAGTTCTACTGATCACTGTGTAAACTTGAGCAGACCAATTAAACTCTCTGTGATTCTATTTGCTCATCAGTGCAATGTATATAATATTAGTAATCTTTGGCAATTCTAGGTTTGAGGGTTGTAAAGCTCAAATAAACTAATGGTCACAAAAGTGTTCTGAATAGATTTATAATTAAAACTACAATAATCAAGAAGTTATGTTATTGCCAAAAGGGTGGACATATCTATCAAGAGAAAACAGTGTAGAAAAATACACACACACACACACACACACACACACACACACACACACACATATTTTCTTAAAAGGTGCTAAGGTAATTCAATGAACAAAGAAAGTTCAATCTTCCAACAAATACAACAAATAGTCTTTGAACAATTGTAAATCCATATAAAAAAAGATTATCAATTCTTACCGCACATCATATACAAAATTTAACAAGAAATGCACAAACCCTAAAACTATAAAACTAGAGAAAAACAGGAGAAAATTTTTGTGTCCTTGGTTTAGGCTGTTTCTCAACGGCACAAAAAGTCCTCATAAAAATTAAAGCAAACAAACAAAAACTCTTTGCTCTTCATTTTTTAAAAATGTTTATTCATTTTTGAGAGAGAGAGAAAGATAGCAAGCATGGGAGGGGCAGAGAGAGGGAGACAGAGAGTCTGTAGCAGGCTGTCAGCACAGAGCCCTACATGGGGCTCGAACACACGGACCGCAAAATCATGAACCAAGCCAAAGTTTGACGCTTACCAACTGAGCCACCCGGGTGCTTCACCTTTGCTCTTCAAAAGACATTGTTAAGAAAATTAAAATGTGAGCTACATATTGGGAATCACAAGTTACATATTGTAAATCACACGCCTGATAAAAGACTTGTATTCAGAATACATCAAGAATGCTTACAATACAGTTATAGGACCATCAACAGAATAAACAGCAGGAAAGATATTTGAACACACACCTCATCAAAATGTGAATGACCACTAAACATGAAAAATGCTTGATATAATTTGTCATTAAGGGAATCAAATTAAAACTGCAATGCATACTACAATATCTAAAGTTAACCACCTCACACTGGTCAGAGTGGCTAAAACGAACAAATCAGGAAACTACAGATGCTGGTGAGGATGTGGAGAAACAGGAACCCTCTTGCACTGTTGGGGGTAATGCAAACTGGTGCAGCCGCTTTGGAAAACAGTGTGGAGGTTCCTCAAAAAATTAAAAATAGAGCTACCCTATGACCCAGGAATAGCACTACTAGGAATTTACCCAAGCGATACAGGAGTGCTGATGTATAGGGGCACATGTACCCCAATGTTTACAGCAGTGCTTTCAACAACAAATTATGGAAAGAGTCTAAATGTCAATCAACTGATGGATAGATAAAGAAGATGTGGTTTATATATTCAATGGAATACTACTTGGCAATGAGAAAGAATGAAATTATTCCATTTGCAGCAACATGGATGGGACTGGAAGGTATTATGCTGAGTGAAATAAGTCAGTCAGATAAGGACAGATATCATATATTTTCACTCATATGTGGATCTTCAGAAATAAGAGAAGACCATGGGGGAAAGGAAGGGGGAAAAATAGATACAAACAGAGAGGGAGGGAGGAAAACCACAAGAGACTATTAAATACAGAGAACAAACTAAGGATGGATGGGGGAGCAGGGGAGAGGGAAAATGGGTGATGGGCATTGAGGAGGGCACTTGTTGGGATGAGCACTGGGTGTTGTATGTAAGCCATTTTGACAATAAATTATATTCTTAAAAAATAAAGTTAAAAAGACTGACAATAGCTAGTGCTCATGAGAATGTGGAACAATATGTCTCATACATTGTTGGTGGGTTTATAAAACAATACAGACATTTTGGAAAATGTTTTGAGAGTTTCTTATAAAATTACACATTATCTTTCTTTCTTACTGTCTGATGTAGCAATTTACTTTTAAGTATTAACCCAAGGTAAATGAATACATGTGTCCACAAGAAGATGAATAGTCATAGCGGCTTTATTCATAATAGCCCAAAACTAATAACAACACAAGTGTTCATCAGCAGATAAATAAACATATTGTGGTTGTGGTTACACAACTGCGTCCACTTGTGAAAACTCATCTAACTGTATAAAGAGGTGAACTTTATTGTATAGAAATTATATATCAAAAACTTTATTAAAAGTATTAGCTATTCCTCTTGCCAAAAAAAAAAAAAATAAGCTATGAGTGTTTTCTGCAGCTGGAGAACTGGTGTCAAAGAGCACAGCAGGACCATTAACAGTATATGTTCAAAAAGCTGCATAAAAGACATTAAAATTAGTTAGTTCTATGGTCATTCTTTTGTTTCAATTGAGAAGATACAGTTATATTAATCGCATTCAAAACTATGAGCTGCATCAATTATTTTATCAGCAGAGTTTAGAACTTACTTTACCTAATAAAACTACCTCCCTTTCAGACAATTTAATATCAAATGCATCATCTGCAAATGATTATTGAAGCTAAAGTCCTTATTCAAAGGCACCCTACAGCAATCTGAGTTACAAGTAAGCATTCTAATAAAATTCAATAGGCATCTTCTATATTATATTTGACTAATTCTAAACTTATTTTTTTTTAGTATTTATTCAAGATCAGTAGTATTACTAAAGTGCTGACCAAGAAGTCTTCATATATAGGAAATGTAGTGTCTCCTTTGTTTTTTAAATTATTTTTAATTTACCTTTAAATTTAAATTTACTTATTTAAATTCAAGTTAGTTACCACACAGTATAGTATTGGTTTCAGGAGTAGAACCCAGTGATTCATCACTTACGTATAAACCCCAGTGCTCATTCCAAGTGCCCTCCTTAATGCCCATCACTCATTTAACCCAATCCCCCACTCACCTCCACTCTAACAACCCCCAGTTTGTTCTCTGTATTTAAAAGTCTCTTATGGTTTCCATCCCTCTCTGCTTTTATCTTATTTTTCCTTCCATTCCACTATCTTCATCTGTTGTATTCCTTAAATTCCACATATGAGTGAAATCATAATTGTCTTTCTCTGCCTGACCTATTTCGCTTAGCATAATACACTCTAGTTCCATTTGAGTTGTTGCAAATGGCAAGATTTCATTCTTTTTGATCACCGAGTA